CATTGTTTGGCCCTTAGCGTCTTCTCTTGCATGCATGCACATGCTTGTTCATTCCACTTGAATTTGCCCCTGCTTTATTTCGACCTGTTTCAATTATTAGACATTCGTTGTATCGTTGTTGGTTCAACGCTGATTGCCCATGTTCAATTACTAACTGGCACATACTTCGATCAGCACTATATTCATTCGGAGAGTGGAAACACCTGACCCGACTAGGTGAATGAAATGCGTTCGTTTCCCTAGTGATCATGCCAGTGTACTACTTGATTGCTGAAACAACGAAGCGGACGATTACTTTCAAGGATCCAATCCTCACGCAATTGAATTCCCTGTTTTCTTGACTCAGGTGTAATGTGACACCACGCACCAATCTTCTCGTTTGATTTTCATTTTCGTCAGTACCGCACTAAATCTCCAGCACATCCGGCGGAGGAGAACAGAATTATTCTTTAAGTGAGAAGAACGGTGGCTATCCTATCGTAAACCCCTTGGTGAATTCCAGTAAAATCTCACTGTACGCGCGGATATGTATTTGTTGGTGTGGACAGAGACTGTACACCCGAGATGAAGGTCAGATCTTCCTTGAAAAGCATGATTCACTACTTATAAAGTTTCCATTCAATAAACGTACAGAAGTGGTACATCCAAAGAATTGTCTACCTCTTTGATCTGGTCACAGGTGAACTTGGAATAACTTAATCCCAGCCATGCCAGTTCGCAGTGCGCTTCTCGCGTGTATTTATTTAGAATTATCCCTTGTTTCTCCAATTGGTGTAATTATAGATTTATACTAATACTCAAGCACCGATTCAGTTACTCAAACAGAACGGGAATTTTTTCATCCCCGATAAAAGGTTCCCGAAGGGAGATCGAAATATTGTTCGCTTTTGAGGTCCTATTTAGCCTCATATCATAGTTTTGTGCTTGTGCTACTCACTAATGTCACCGATGTTGACCTCCCGAACTAACTTGAAGTGATTCGCTTCACATCTAGTCACTGTACGGTAGAAATACTGGGTAACCTTCTTGAATTTCGCGTTTAGGTACTCAAGATTGGACGGGATCGATCGATCGCTCGCGAGGGATGTCTCTTTTTTATCTTGCACTTTACAATCCATCGCGGTCCAGCTTTTAGTCGAACGTTTTTGAGCGAATCAGCCTGATTGACTGTGTGAATACGTTAATCTCGAGACATCGAACGGCCCAAATGCAACTAGTGATACCGTTTAAAAAACACGATGGCGAACGAGCTAGAATTGGGTTACTCATCCATACCACTATTTGAATCGCAATGTTTTGTGAAATTGAAATTAATTATAGACTGATGCGAAAATCACTGCTGCTTCCTCTTTGGCCAAGATGGGACTTTGGGGAGCCAAATGAAAGTGGTTTTTCTTTCCAATTCCTGGGACATATTAGCCTCGTGGTTTGACTCTGCTGGACGTAAATTACCCTATCCTCGTGTGAAGATAGTGGCATCAATTTACTCCCAGGTGGCAGACTGTCTGATCTGGAGTACGCAGACGACATTGTGCTGCGAAGTGAAGATCCAGGTAAGTTGCAAGCATTTCTGGATAACTTGAATGCCAGCGCAGCCATATTCGGTATGCGTTTTGCACCTTCAAAGTGTAAAATGTTACTACAAGACTGGGTTGGTCCAGCACCCAACCTCACTCTAACTGGGGAAGTAATAGAGCAGGTGGATAAGTTTTGTTATTTGGACAGCTACATCTCACCCGGTGGACGCATCACGGATGAAGTGTCAGCTCGCATACAGAAGGCTCGGTTGGCATTTGCTAACATCTGTGGCGCCGTCGCGACATCCGGCTGTCTGTGAAGGGTCGAGTGTATGCCGCGACAGTTCGGCCAACCCTGCTATACGGTGCAGAAACTTGACCAATAAAAAAACAAGATAAAGACAGACTGTCGGTGTTTGAACACCGCTGTCTACGCAGCATTGCACGAATCTGGTGGGGTAACCGGACTTGCCCACTTGAGCAAGTTGTCGACCTCCATAGATTACGTTGGCTGAGACATGTGTTACGCATGTCATCAGATAGGTTACCACGGCGAGCGATGTTCGTCGAAGCAGACACTGAGGGTGGTCAAGCTAAGACCTGGCACAAGGGTATGAAAACCCTAACCAGGAGACTCGGTCACATAGGTACTGTTAGGCTCCCTGGCTGGAGACTTCGGGATGATCGTGACCGATGGTTAGAGACACCGAGTTATATGGCTGGGTGTCGCAAACAATGGCGTTCGTGCATCTTCTCAATTTCTTGGAACCTTAGTCCACTGAACTTCTCCACTTTCATATCTTCTCCTATTCTTCATCCAAATGATCAACGAAAACCGGCTCACGAATATGCGTGGTTAATGGTTGTACAAACTGAACTGAACTGGTGTAAACCGGTCGAATATTTTGTGGTTTATTCTGTCAATCAATTATATCAGCCTTTTTTGTGGGATAAGTTTACTGTAGCCTTGACATCTTTAATCGACAAACCATGGGCATTGAACCTCTGGACGGGTTAAGTTAACGTGGATTTACAACTTGATAAAGCTTACTTACAAAAAAACATTTCTGTGACATTCATGAAAATCGTCCGATGTTCTCATTGCACAATAACTCGGCGAGAATAAGTCAAAATTGTCTCAATGCGGGTTCGCTATTCTCCTACTGATTGGTATGTGTTCGAATCCTTTGTCCTTCGAAAGCCTCAAAACTGTATTTATCCGTGCAAATAAAATCCATCTTTCTCCTCT